AAACACCAGTAGAAGCATAAAGCTTATAAAAGAGCATTACAATATCAAAAACGAAAGCATAACAGTATCAATTATCATAATATATGAAACGTCTCTAAATTTTATTGAATTCAGTACCTAGAAAATATCTAGTATGTTTTGTTCTTCATTTTCTCCTTTCAAATTGTTGTTTTCAAATTCCTGTTCAAACCTACAATTTTGGCCAAAAATGCTGAGACACTTGCAAAAAAAAAGCTACTTACAAATCACCCGCCCCCTTCCTCTAAAATCAATGTTGGATTGAATTGGTAACCAATGTAGTAATCCACACTAATTCCATAATCATGTTAACCAACATTGACCCGGGGGGAAGGGGGTTTAGGTCACCAGCGCATATAATATGAAGATATAGCACGCGAGTTCAAATGTCTCAGCTATTTTTAGTCAAGAGTGTCTGATATGGTTGTCACAATTTGTCAAGATTGCTCGCGAGATTTTAGAATTTTTAAGACACGAGTACCTTATATTCCCAACTATCAATCCTCTTTAATAAATTTAAAGCAATTGCAATCATTTTTCGTTTTGCTCTGAGCTATAAAAACGTCCATCCGACAGTATGCTGAATTTTGTAACAGGCCCTTTTGTATCTGATACTAGGCTATCAGGTATTTTATGGTCTTAAGTTGCCTCTGTTTAATTACTCTTGAGTCAAGAATAAACGAGGTGGTCTGGAATGAACAGGTTGGTGGAAAACTTTCTAAATCTCAGTAACTGACGGGTTTGGAAAAAGAGGGGGGAGTGAAAAAGTTGCCCTGATTCTAATTTAGGGGGAATGATTAGCCACCGCCTTTCAATAGGAAACAGAATAAACATGAGCGAGGCACTAGTTTTTTTACGCTTTTGCTCAGTATAGAACCAACATTATTTTTAACAGGAAAATATAGTAAAAAATTCAGTTCTAAATAGTGCATTATAAAGTTTCTTCATTAACAAGACTCGAAAATGTGAAACCAGGGGTCGAAATTTAGGATGTCTTGGGTGGATTTTTTAGTAAGGTATCGATAAGCGGGGCTGAAAGATCCAGACCCGAGAGTATACTCTGCACTTGCTTTAACTCAACAATGATAGCGAACAAACGGCCTATTTACTTTGTTTGTTAATTGTTTTCTTTGCAACACAATGTTCAATTTGAAGCGAAAAGTAGGAAGTCACGTGAATAATGACAAAAACAAGAATTTTCAACGATTCACCAACGATTCACCAACGATTCACCAACGATTCACCAACGATTCACCAACGATTCACCAACGATTCACCAACGATTCACCAACGATTCACCAACGATTCACCAACGATTCACCAACGATTCACCAACGATTCACCAACGATTCACCAACGATTCACCAACGATTCACCAACGATTCACCAACGATTCGCCAACGATTCACCAACGATTCACCAACGTTTCACCAACGGTTCACCAACGGTTCACCATTTGCCATGGACAGTTGGATATAAGGGGTTTCCATCTCTCTATAAAAACATGGAATCGGTAGAATTCTGTGTATAAAATCTTAACATGGGTATTTGTGATGGCTAGGTATAACTTCCTAGGTGGAATTATTTGCCATGGGCGGGTGACCACAAACATGAACGTAAGCACAAGGAACACTATATTGTTGCAGACGGCGCATGCAAAGGTTAAGGTTCCTGGATTGCGAAGAGACGAAGCGGAAAAAAGTGTTCGGTCCGTATTTGACTTGGGGAGCCAGAAGAGCTACATTACGAAAGAATTAAAGCGTTTGTTACAGTTACCCGTTATTGGAAAAGATAGACTTTCAATAAAAACTTTTGGAGATTCCAAACTGAAGGTTAGGGAGTGCGAAATTGTCAAGATCAGCGTGAAGTGCAAGGATGGAACTGAATTGGTGATTTCAGCCTATGTTGTACCGTTTATCTGCACTGCCATAAGCAACCAGCGAATTCCAGAAGTCGTACAGAGGTACCCATAATTAGGAGGTCTAGATTTGGCCGATATCGATCACAATGACGCAGAAAACCCGGATAAACCCATGCAAGTGTTGGTAGGCTGGGATGAATTTTGGAGATTTGTAAGCGGTGAAGTTGTATACAGAGAGGCAGATGAACCGGTCACGCTTCAAACGAAACTAGGATGGGTGTTGTCTGGTCCATCTGGTCTGGTAAGTGACAATTATTCTTATGTTATGAGAGTTGATACATTAATCGTTGACAAAAATGACTCTGAGATTGCAAATAAATTGAAGAATTTCTGGGATAATGAATCAATAGGTATTAAAGGTGACGATGAAATTAAATTTATTGATGGCCGATATGAGGTCAAGTTGCTGTTCAAAGAGGGAACTCTCCCGGACAGTTATTCCCTGTTCAAAAAAAGTCTGTTTGCACACGTAGACGACTTACAGCACAACAAGGAAATTGCCAAGCAATATGTGTAGAAATTATCCTTCGTAGGTTCAATTTCGGGGCTAGAGGTACTAGATACGCCCCTCTGGCTGAAGGATTAGAATTACCAATGGGTTCAAAATGTTCCAAAGATTCAATAAAACAAAAGGAAAGATTAAATATAAGAGGACTGTATATATTAACTCAAAAAGATAAAGTAATTTAAAGCATAAGTAATTTAAAGCATAAAATTCACGATTTCTTCCTTGTTCGCTCTTGAGGGTTCATAGTTGTGTTCATCGTTTAGTAAATAAGAGTTCATAGTTTACCTCAGAGTTCTTTCTTATCTTGCTTCGATTTCTTGAATGTATTCAAATTTCTTTATACTTCCATTCCACTCTTGGATCACGTCGATTTAAAAGCCATGCAGCAATCAGCGTCAATCAAAATTATACAAAAATTCAACTCAATAAAAGATAGCTTGTAAATAAAAAAGGAAAGGTCAAGAAGAAAGCAAGGGTCAGGGGCTAGCGGCCACTTTTTCCCACACTCCCCCCTTGACCAGCGCACTCTGTCTTATAAAGGGTTCGTTTTCAAGCTGGTCAATGATTGCCAGTCTTTCTTTAGCTACGGTCTTGGCTATACACTTAGGTCGATCGATTTCCGCGATTTTGTTTTCTTCTGCATGTGGTTTGGATTCGAGTTCTTCTGCGGTGACTTCTATCGGATATACTTTTTGAAGTGGTTGCTCTATCACGCTGCCGTTTGCTAGACGTAAGCTTACTCTTCTGACCTCGTTACCGCTCCCTCTAAGAAGTTTTTCTACGCGTCCTAGTTTCCAGAACATTCGATTTCTAATTTGCTCGTCGTGAATCGTCACTATATCTCCGACGTTGACGGGTAACAAACTCGTCCTTCCCGACGTCATGTGATGATACTCGCGTAGATTTAGGAGGTATTCTCCCTTCCATCTCTTCCAGTAATGGTGAATCAGCATTGATACAACTCGGGCCCTACGTTGGGTTGTTTTAGCGCATTGGTTGTAATTGGAATCTTCCTTCGCTTCGGTGTCAACTGGTAACTGAAGCAGTCCACGGCCTGCAAGTAAATGCGATGGCGTGAGTGGCTCTTCAAGGTCGTTTGGGTACAAATATGTCAGTGGACGCGAGTTCAATACGCCTTCTATCTCAACGATTACGGTATGTAGCTTGTCGTACGAATGTTTCGATGTACCGATTGTCTTCTTCAAACAGCTCTTCACACCCTTTATCAGACGTTCGTAAAATCCACCCCACCAAGGGGCTTGGCAAGGTTGAAACTCCATGTGACGCGCTTTTCAGCAAGATACGATTTTACATTAGATGAATTCAACAGTTGTAGAAGTGTTTTAGAAAACGATTTGAAAGTTTTCGCGTTGTCAGTTACGATATTTCGTGGTATTCCTCTGCGGCTAACGAATCTGCGAAAGCAGTTTAAAAATGTTTTTGCCGACAAGTCCGGTACGAGTTCTAAATTGAAAGCCGGCGACGTTGCGCAAGAAAATAATGCAAGATAAACCTTTCTTGAAACATTTGCTGTAGTTTGAACGTAAAGTGGACCGGCAAAATCTATTCCCACCGAGAAAAATGCGTACTCTTCTCGAACTCTGAAGTCTGGCAACTGTCCAGCCTTTGGTGACCCATATGCTAGGCCTTGTAATTTCTTGCAAAGTTTGCAATCTCGTAAGATTTTCTTGACAAGTTGTCTTCCTTGATTTACCCAGAAACGCGATCTGAGCTCTTGTAGGGTTTCCTTTGTTCCATTGTGCAGTACGTTACGACGACAGTTCTGTATTATAAGGTGGGTTACGTGGTGCTCTTTAGGTAGAAGAATTGGGTTTCTTGATTCAATTGGTAAACTTGAGTTGTTAAGCCTACCATAGCAACGAATTATGCCCTTCGTGTCCTTATCGTTTCCGAGGTGCTTCTTCAAGTCAGCGAGCTTTTCTTCTTTGAAGGTTGACTGCATATCTTCTACCCAACATTGTTCTGCCTCTTCCAACTTTTGCGCTGATAGCTCTTCTGTTTCCTTCACGCTGTTGCGACAAATTTTTACAAAACGTAGAACGTAAGCAGTTACACGAAGTAGCTTTGTGTAGGAACTGAATCTATTGCAATCGATAATTGTGGAAATCAAGTGGTGTTCTTCTGAATTGATGAACATACTCATGACATGGCGAGCTTTCATTTCCTTGATACATTCTTCAGATGGCTCTTGTTGCAACGAGCGTTTAGGCCAGAAAGTTTCGTCTTGCGATAACCATCCAGGACCTCGCATCCATCGAT